GAGGTTGTTTTTTATTGGTCTGATGTGATATTCTTGTGTTTTCGTTTGCTGGGAGCTGAAAATCAACATAATTAACAGAATTTATAGAATAGTGTTTTGGAGCAGCTCATTATCTCTCAGTTGTTTTTTTCTAGACTGTTGTTGGTGTTGCTTTTGGTGGAGGCGCTGCATGTGTGGACAGTCACTTCCTCTGGTTTTGGAAGATGTGCAGCTGGAAGGATTTTTAACTGGTATTGTTTTGTAGCTGGTTAGCATCTCAAAAACTCTGATAGTACCTGAACTTTGACCCCAAACCCCAGAGGAGGTGATAATGATGCAGAGAGAGAATCCTCCCATTTTATCACACATCACCATTAAAACAACTCTTTGAAGACACTTGGATGATATCAGTTATGGTGACATTTAATTTCCCTTTAGGATAAATACAGCATCTCTGAATACATTTACACTTTGGTATTTAAAATAACTTTGTTCCCAGATTATCATTAATGGATTAATTAATGGATTTTTATAATTAATACTTCATCACCTGTTCCTGATTCAACTTGTTTTTTCTCTTTTTTTTACCTTTATATGAAGAACAAATATCATAAAAACCTCCTCAGAGAAAACAGAGGCTCTCGGTTTGGATTTCACTTCCTGTTTGGCTTTTCACATTCTGTCCCCATAACAAGGTTGATTTATGACTTTAAGTCTGCAGTGAATTATAATGTTGATGTTTGTGTTGAAAGAAGGGTGTTTGTTGGTTTTGTCTCTAAGCCACAGCACAAAACAGATCCTAAAATTAGCCGAGAAAATTTCCAAACAAGAACAGGAGTGTTGGAGCTGGCATTGTGGTCAGCCAACATTCTTAAAACCAAACACCATCAGATCCTGGTTGTTTTGTGGAGGCAAAGCAGGAACAGAGTAGCTGTGATCAAAGCCTTTTTTTCTCTAAAATTTGTGCTGTTCAGCTTTTTCTGCTCTGTTTGTGCTTAAATCAGGTTTATACATATTTAATCTGCTAATGAGGCGGGCAGAGGAGGGGCAGATGTTGGCTGTAGTGAGCTTGTTGTGAAGACAAAGGATGTCACTGAACAAAATGAGGTTTACAGTCCTGAACAGAGGAACTGCATGAGTGAGTGCCTGACGTTTCCCTACCAATCAAATCAGAGAAATTTTATCCTAATCTTTTTACAGTGGCATGGAAAAGTTTTATTTTATTTCATGTGTCTTATTTTATAAAATAAGACACATGACAAAAATTTAGCATACCTTCCAGCATATTTAAAATTAAATGTCATGGTAATTATACATGCAAAAAGAGTATCCCTTATTTTATTTATTCCCTGATTTATTTTCTCAAAAATAAAAACAAACACTACAACCATAAGCAACTTTCACCATGTTCTGTGTGTGTCGGCCATATTGGGTACTAAACTTTGGCTGGTCTTTCCCATTTCCAACTTCTTGGGGCATTTCTGTTATATCTTCAACTACATAATCTGATTCCTAAGTACAAAGAGACCACACCATAACACCTACTTATGCTAAGACTTAATCAAGCTATCATCTGTCAGAGCTAATTGTTGTTTAAGCTAACATAGCTTATACTAAAAAATATAAAAATTGATAAAATCAACAGTTAGTCTAACAGTCATTCTAGCTGAGCTACTTAATCTGATAATTAAACAAGGTGTATATAAGGGTTACTGAAAGTTAGTTTAACTAGCATCTACTTAAGGTAAGAGAGTAGCAACTGCTGAAGCTAACATAAGGTAAAATATAGGCTATTTAGACTAAGCTAACCATCACTCTGTTCAATAGTAGCTTAAATATTTAAACTTTTTTCTGTACCAAATTTTTGTGTTTTTATGCTATAACTATGTTGTTCTCACTTTTCATTTAGTCCTGAAACAATAGTAACAAAAATTATTAAACACAAAAGGGAAGATGTTTTTATATTCCAGGAGTGATTATCAAGGTGAATAATTTTTGGTTAGTAATGATACGTTCGCACTGCAGCCTGAACTGACCCAAATCCGATTTTTTGTAAAATCGATTTTTTTTTTTTTCCTTTTTGGCGTGGTCGTTCACACTTACAAATAAAAACGACTTGTGTGAACTGCAAACGACCGCATGCCCAGTAGTGGGCGCAATAACGTCACACACAGAGAGCGTGCTCAGTGTTTAGGAAGTAAACGTGGATGCTAATGGTGGAGCACATCTGCCGATTTTGAAGTTGTTGTCCGACCGGAGCCGGAGTCGGAGCCGGAGCCAGCACCTGAACAGCTTAACCCACATCATGGCCCGCCATGGTTGTTGGTTTGCTTCCCGCTTGCTCGCATCAGGGCGCAGAATAGTGACGTTTGTCGAGTATCAATGACGTCCAGGTCGGATGAATGCGGCCTGGCCCAACAAACTCCGGCCACATTTGGAAAGATCAGATACTTATCGGATATCCAAGATGCCTGGGTTGTATTAGAAAAAATCCGCTCTGATTTGTTCTGATATTTAGTGAGAGTTTAACGTCCTGCCGTCGTTTCAGGTTCAGCCATCCCGGTGGGCATCGATGTGCAGGTGGAGAGCATTGACAGCATCTCTGAGGTCAACATGGTGAGTTTCTGTCTTTTTCTGTTACTCTGCGAAAGGCCCATGAAAATCCCTGCTGACTCCCAACACAGGAAGAAATTAGAAAATAATGTAAATCAACTGAAAAAATCAAAACATCCTTTCAAGCACATTGATTTACAACCATGCGCGGTAAGAATCTCCTGAAGTGTTTGTGTAAATATGTTCTGTGAAAGTGGATTTATTTGCTGCTCCATTGTTGTCCGTGAAAAGAGGAGCAATAATGTGGGACCTCCAGGGTTCAGCTTTGAACTCGGCCCATCACCGACTCACTCGCTTCTCTTCTGGGCTGAGATGAATGATGCTGAGGAAGATGGTTGTCATGGCTGCCTGAACTGGAACAGTTCAGAGAACCACATATTACTCTTAAAGCCTTTAATATTCCTAAATAAGTTAATGAAATGCTGAAAAAGGCGACGGTCTAAAGAAAAGTTATAGTTTTCAACCCATATTTTTTGCAACCTCTACATAATGAAAGTTTTCAGTGAGATTTTTTACATGATCTTTGGTCTTCACTGCTACAAATCAAGCAATAAACAGTTAAACATTTAGAAACCACTTTGTTTTACTGACATGGGAAAGTCAAAGGCCTTCTGCAGAAACGCTTTATGGTCAGACGGGATAAAATTATAGATGTTTAGTCAAATTTAGAAATTTGAAGACTGTCCATACTAGGAAAAACCTCATCATTCCACCCTGGAAAAATAACAGCTGAATAAGTCTGTGGTTAAAAAAACAGATTGATAAATATAGGAAATTACAACAGAGTATTAGACAGAGATTTGTTTTTGCAATTATGACAATAAAGTCATATTATTAGCACAATAAACATGCAGAAGAAAGTCATAAAATTATGAGAAATAAGTAAATTTAATTGGATCTATTGAGACCAGCTCAGCAAATCTGTGGTTCTTTCTTCGAATTAAACTCAGTCATTTCAGAGCTGCTACTGATAATAATCAATTCAGCTTTACTGTTGTTTTATTACCACCTTCTTTTCATTTATTATGACTTTATTCTCATATAATGCATTTCTCATATAATTGTGACTTTATTCTTGAATAAAGTTGTATTTTACAACTTTATTCTCATGCTATGACTTTATTCTGATATCACATCTTTATTCTCTTCTTATGTCAACTTTATATCTGTATGACTCGTTTCTCATAATTTTATGACTGTATTCTTGTTCAAATTTTTTCTAGTAATATTATTCTCATCATTTTCGTAGTGACTTGTTTTTCTTAGCTTGGCCCTAATAACCCATCATAGAAAATATATTCAATAAGTCAGACATGAGGTTTATTTATAGTTTTTTGGATAGCATATTTATATTTGGCAAATATCTGATTAAAATAGATTGGAACAATTTCAGCCCAGTATTTTTAGGATTTTTGTTTTCATCCTGACCAAATGAAACAACGCTGCCCCCTGCTGATGTGAAATGGTACTGTTGGCATATTTTAGGTAATGATGTAAAATTAGCATATGTTTCCCACAGCATCTTAGCATATAAAATATATTTTTCACAATCAAAAATATCAGGAAACCACAAGAAAATTCAACTATTCAAACAGAAATAAAATAAAAATAAATGATCTGAAACCGTCAGGAGCTTGTTGTTTTGTTTAGCTGATTCTAAAAGTTCAGTAAAGTGAAGCTGAAAGTGGAGTGATGTCTCCATCCTGCAGGACTTCACCATGACTCTGTACCTGCGTCACTACTGGAAGGACGAGCGGCTGTCGTTTCCGTCCCACACCAACCAGAGCCGGACGTTCGACTCCCGTCTGGTGAAGAAGATCTGGGTTCCTGACGTCTTCTTCGTCCACTCCAAGCGCTCCTTCATCCACGACACCACCATGGAGAACATCATGCTGCGGGTTTACCCTGACGGAAACATCCTCTACAGCGTCAGGTACGGATCAGAGAAAAGACAACGTCCTCTCAGGTTACACAGAAATATCCACAACCTCTCAGAAAAATCATAGATTTAAAGAAATTTCTCAGGTGAAACTGTGTCCTGTGCTCGTATTTATCAGATTTTACTGTGGGAAACAGTTTTACCTGCATATGTTATTGGTTATAAAAATTATTCTGTGTATTTTTATGACCGCTTCAACAATATTTGCTTTGTTTATTCAATATATATCTTCAACTTAGCACAAAAAACAGAAGCGATCGCCTTAGCTCCCCTCACCATCATCTGCAGGGCCGACTCGTACTGAACATTCGGTCTGAAGCCTTTAGATGTTTTTCATTTTCAAACAGATTTTTTTCTTGCTTAGCTTGAAAAAACATTCAAATCCAAAACCTCCATAAACATAAAGACAGATTTGGAGTTCCACACGGCTCAGTGTTTGGTTCTTTTAAAATCCATACATGTTGCCTCAAGGAATGTTAAAATCCTAAAAATATAAAATGAAAGTTATTTCTGCTCTGAAGTGTGTGTGTGTGTGTGTGTGTGTGTGTGTGTTTCAGGGTGACGGTAACGGCTCTCTGCTCCATGGACTTCAGCAGTTTTCCTCTGGACACTCAGAACTGCTCTCTGGAGCTGGAGAGCTGTAAGAATCAAATCCGTAACGAATCCCTCTGAGCTGTTAACGAGCTCAAACTGTAAGACACAAACTTCATCAGTTTCCTCCTCTTTCTGTCCCCGTTTGTCACCTGCAGATGCTTATAATGAGAACGACCTGATGCTTTACTGGAAGAACGGGAACGACTCTCTGAGGACGGATGAGATCGTTTTGTCCCAGTTCTTCATTGAGCACTTCCACGCCTCCAGCGGCCTCGCCTTCTACAGCAGCACAGGTACGAAAACTGACAGTTTCCATGTTTAGACTTATTGATATGCAAAATCATTTAACTGAACTGCAATCAAACCAAACAAATACAACTTTTAGTGACAAAAAGTTGTTTATCAAACCTGATATGGCTAAAATCACACAGACATGATGAGAACATGACGACTCAGCGTTTTCACTGAGATTCATCCTGTTGAACCTCAGATGTTTAGCTTGATGCTCCATAAGGAAACCTAGACATCCATCTGAGGCCTTCAGGAACCATACACTGCAAAAACACTAAATATTACAAAGTCTAATTCTCTAGTTTCTAGTTCATATATCTTTGTAAGCTTGAAATAAGACAAAACTAACTTACTAACTTTTCAGCAAGATAAATGAGCTTGTTTTAAATAAGTAATTATTGAATATAGATTAAAAATTACTAGTTTCACTGGCAGATTATTTCACTTCTAATTTCTGAAAAATGTCTTGCAATGATGAATTATCCTTCCACCAAGTCACAGCTAGTTTATATTTAACATTTATAAAATAATTAACTTCTTAGACCGTCCTGAAAATGAAACCCAGAACAAATACATTTATATGCACTTTATTGACTAAAAAACATGATTAGTTACATCACTTCAGTGTGATTAATCTGATTAACTACATAAATAAACCAAATAAGCTGGGAAACATTACAATTCATAATTCTAAATACCCGTAGTATTTTAAAAATGCAGATTAAGTTGTGTTTTCTATTTCTGTGCATGTAAGAAATATGACATGATGATCAGAGTATTTTAATATTAATAAAATTAACAAACATCTTGTTATCAGTTCTCAGGGTTTGTAGTTAATCTCATTAATCTGAACTCTTAGAATAATTTCTGTCATGTCACATGCAGAAGTCTAGATTATTCTACGTATGGCCATATTCTGCTTTGTTGTATTGCTGTACTTTGCTCTGTTGCCATATTTTGGAGTGAGACACTGTAAAACTGAGTTTTAACTGCATTAGTTTTTATTTTTATGTCCATCCTTGGTGGCTGTAGCAGAGACTGTTGGTTCTGGTTCTCTGTCCTGAGTCACAGATCGACCCGAGTTGGTTTTTAACACAGACTGTTGGTTCATGTGGTTGGATGTCGGACGACGTTAATCCATCGTTAATCTGTCAGACGTTTGAAGTTTTGCAGTAAACACCGTTGTGTGTGTCTGCAGGTTGGTACAACCGACTCTTCATAAACTTCATCCTGCGGCGCCACATCTTCTTCTTCATGCTGCAGACGTACTTCCCCACCATGCTGATGGTTGTCCTGTCCTGGGTTTCCTTCTGGATCGACCGCAGAGCCGTTCCCGCCCGCGTGTCTCTGGGTAGCGCATTATACCCTCCATCACAGCACGGCAGATACTTTGGGTTATTTCTTCTTTTAAATAATGACGTTATGATGTCACCACCTCTCACACCTTTACATTGAGTCTATCTGAGCAGAGAATTGAAGTATTTCTAGATAAACTTGAAATTTTTTGTTATTAAGTGTGTAAAATTATAGTTTCCTTGAATGGTAAAGTATTTTTGGTAGTTAAATCACTATCATTCTATGATAATGGCATCACACCAGCAAATATAGTAGTTTATTACATTAATGAGAAGTTTCAGTTTATGATTAAAATGGCTAAATGATTTTTTAAAATGTATTTAGGATTTTATCTGTTATTCTAAGGATGTTATTTTCATTATTTTCTTAGGAATAAGCAGCAGACAAATCCTAAATGCACAGAAAAACTGTTAAAACTCTTTGTTGTGCTTCAAACTGCAGCATTAACATTATTTTAGCCTCTTCTTCTGCACACCTGTTCAGGCCAAACAGGTGCGCAGCGCCCTCTGTCGGGCTTTTGGGAGAATGACAGTGAATAGACTGAAGCAGTAAAGTCTGACAAAACCGTTTGCTGTGTCCTCCTGCAGGTATAACCACCGTCCTCACCATGTCCACCATCATCACCGGAGTGTCCTCATCCATGCCTCAGGTCTGGACGTCTCCATGGAGACGGACACCGTCTCCGACTCTAACACTTAGTCTAATTATTTTCTAGTTCAGAGTTTCTGTCTTAGTTTTCTAAAGAAATCAGTGAGATAGAAACATGGACAGATAATCACCTTGAAAATTATACTAAATTAAATAGCATATAACTTTATACTTTCATAATTCTACTAAAAAAACTTGAACCTTGCTTTTTAAAGAGGTTTTGGTTAGAAACAGTCCAGTTTTGCTCTTCAGATGTTTATATCTGACTCTTTCTCTGTAACTTCTGCTACACATGCCACCTGACCTTCAAATAATAAAAAAAACAATTTCTTAGTTAAATATCGCAATAAAAGTTTGACTAGAAGCAAACGTGGGGTTAAAAAGGAGGCGTGTCTTACTGTGCAGGTGTCATATGTGAAAGCTGTGGACATCTACCTGTGGACCAGCTTCCTGTTTGTCTTCCTGTCTGTCATCGAATACGCTGCCGTCAACTACTGCACCACCCTGGAGGAGATGAGGAAGATGAGGAGGGGGAAGGTCAGGACGAAGACGCCGTTTCCAAACCACAACAAAAATCTACAGAATTATGGCTTACTTTGTCTCCCCCCTGTGGTCACACTTTGATATTACAAGTATTTCTAAGTTTAAAAAAATAAAAAATTCAAAGGTCTTTGTCAAGAGCTTTAAAGTTAATTTTGATTTTGAGATAGAATTGAATATCTGATTTTTTTGTTTTCCTTTACATTTTGAAGTATTAACAGCTGAATATAAAAGCAAGAGCATCTAAAGTTCTAAGATTTTGACTAATTTACTTTTGACTATTTAACAGTGTTAAATAAATACTCTATGTAATAAATATTAAATTAGATTTAAGTATGAGATTTTTTTCAAGCAAGGGGAATATTTCTACTTGGTGATAAATTAAAAATTAAATGTTTCATTGCTAAAAAAAACACTGAGATTGTATGAATAAAAACAAATATATGTACAGACAAAGTAACTAATAGCTACACTTCACATAATTAAGAATTACTCAAATTTTCATAATTAGATATTTTTATTTCATAAAATAATTTCTTGCCCCTTTCAGATCCCCTCCACCTTCAACGCCAGCCAGGCCATGGCCTTTGATGGCTGTTTCCATGACAACGACATCGAGCTGACCACCTTCCCTCGGATGGCGCCAGCTCTGACCTCCGACCCCCTTATGGCCCCGAGCCCGAACTCGGACCTGCGGCCGCCGGAGGGGACGCGTTTGCGGCGGCAGCGGTCGGTGCGGGAGAACGTGGAGCTGCTGGTGAACAACAGCTACATGATCGACTCGTACTCACGCCTGGCCTTCCCGCTGTCCTACCTGCTTTTCAACACCGTCTACTGGAGCCTGTACTGCTGACCGGATCCGTGCTGACCAGATCCGTCCTGCACAGTCTGCAGGACGAGTAGGACTGATTCAATCAGCCAAACGCTTAACATCCTGACTGTACAACATTTGTTTATTTGGATTTTTTAAACTGTGTTTTCTTTTTGTGTTTTGTCATGATCAAATGTTATAATATTTTGTGTATAAGAGCTAAAATAAAGTTGAATTCATGTAAAAATGGCTTCCTGCAAGTAAAACGTCCATTTTGATTGAGGGTATAAAACTCAAACATGTTAGCTATAGATTCTTGTCACAATTCATTGAATTCAGTTTAGTTTATTAAAGTACAGGGCCAAAAGGCCCAAAGTTATATGGGGGCTTAGGCAGAACTGTGGAATCTAGAAAAGGAGGTGGAGCTTAAAGCAATTATGGATAATTGAACAAACTGAAGCTCAAACACAACTTGTCAGATTGTAACCATTGTAACACAACAATCACAATACAATTATTTATTTTACACATAAATGTTTTAATTTATTGATGGTAAGAAAAAAATAAAGTCAAGCCTAATGTTCTCATTCTCTATAAAAGAAATAAACATTTTAGAAATTTTACTTGCGTTTAAAATCAAGCATTCCTGCCAAAAGCATCAACGTACACAACTCTTTGAAGATACTTCGATAAAACATTTAGTTTCCTTTTGAAATAATTACAATATAATTAATATAATATAATTAATATGTTTGCTTTGCCTACAGGTGAGTGTTCGCGCGCGCCCAATCAGCCAATGTTGTTATTGCTTCAGGCGGACCCTCCCGTTGTTTCCATAGCAACCGCAGAATTTAGGTATGATTAGCAAAGTGTCAACGGTTGACGCTTTCATGGACGCCAACGCAGACAAAGTCCCACTGCCACGAACACGGTGCGAGAAAACCTCTAACCCGGCGTGACTTGAGCCCACGGAGGAGGCGGAAGGAGGATCCAGGTGAGTTTCTGAATCCGGGAAGACGAGCCGAACTGAACCGAGCCGCTCTCTGCCGAGCTGAGCGCCAAAATGTTAGCATCAGCTGGAACCGTTAGCCTAACAGACGTTGAGCGGGGGAATAATTGACTGACTAGTGAACTGAAGAGGTCGTTTTTCTAAAAAAAAAAAAAAAAAAGCAAACAAACTCGGGTATTGACTTCGGTTAGCTTGACCCAAAGTGGCGGAAGCGGTGATTTTTGATTTTGCTTGTTTTTCTTTAAGGATTTGGTGTTGTTTACTTTGAGCTGTCCGAGTTAAATCGGTTGTTTGAAACGGAGAACTGAGGCTAGGAATAACCAAACCACACCAATGATGAATATTTACACCTAATGACCTGAAAATGTTTGAGACTACTCTGTTTCTTTGAAATTTTAAACTGGGGATATGTTTAAAAATGCGTTTAAATAAAGGGCAGGTCACTTCAAGTTAGCTTGAAAGTGACGTAGCCGTTAAAAATCAGTTACTGTACTCCAGATTTGTGATCAGTTAAAAACTTTTACATAGTTCGTGTTACATTTTTATGGTTCATGTGTTACTTAGACAGCAAGATACTGCAGATTAAATGAAAATAAAAACGTTACAAATCATGTGCGCAAGTTCAATCTTATGAAACTTGCTCTTGTTTTTAGGTCACTTTTTATGCAAATGTTTTAATAACTTGTGTTTTGTTTTGTTTTTTTCCAAACAGGTTTCTTGTAAATGAATCTCACCGGGATAACCTGTATAAATAATGGCTAAATAAATAAAAAAATAAATAAGTCAGAAAAAGTATTCCTACCGCTGGTGGATTTCTGATAGGACGACACTCTGGACCTCAGATGTCAAAGTCCAGTCCTGGAGGGCCGCTGCCCTGCAACTTTTAGATGTGCCCCTGCTGCACCACACCTGAATAGAATAATAATTAGGTCATTAGCAAGGTTCTGGAGAACGTATCTACACAAGAAGGAGGTAATTAAGCCATTTCATTCCAGTGTTTTGTACCTGTGGCACATCTAAAAAATGCAGGACAGCTGCCAATGAGGACTGGAGTTTGACACCCCTGCTCTGGACCATAATGGGTCCAGATCGTAGCCTTGCAGCACACGGCTTCTTCTCATTGGCTTAATAAACTTAATATATTTAATTGGATAAACTTAATTTGATTAGTTGTAATAAATAATTTTTTTGAGTATAATTTCTTTTTCCAGTGGTCTAGAAAAGACTGGAAAAAGTTGTCATTGGTATCTTAAGAAGGTTGAGGTCTGAACTTTGACTGGACCATTGCAGCTTGATTCTTTGTTTTTGTTTTTGTTTTCTTTTTTTTAGTTATTTTGTTGTTGACCCAACCTGACATCTCATTTTGAGTTCAGATCCATGCTGAGTTAGCTAACTGCTGCTCTGCTCCCCCCCACAGTCTCCGTGGCGACCAGCAGCAGCAGCACTCGTCCCATTGAGCCGACGTCCTCCATGACGTCAGAAGTGAATCCGTTCTACCCAGCTGATCTAGAGGTGCAGCTGACGCTCGGAGAGCTGGTTCCTGGTTATTACTGTGTTTACCAGGTAAATCCGCCTCAGAGGAGGGCCACAGACACCTGACACGTTTTCAGGGTTTTTAGTTGTAAAACAGACAGTTTTCCTTCCAGTTCACTATTACACTCTACTTATGATTGTTAAAGGAACTCTAGCCTTCACTGCAGCTTTCTGTCATGTTTCTAGAGCCGACTGACTCTTATTCAGTATGTTCAAAAAACAAACAAAACAAGACTGACTATGTCAAAATAGTTTTTCATTTCTTTGTTTTATGTGTATGGTTTTGCATGTTTTGTTAATATCATGTCTTATTATTTTACCTTATTATTGCCATTTCACTAGAAAAACCCAATCTAGGGAGAAGTTTTGCACATTAGCTTGTGCTGTTAGCATCATGATTCAGGCGTGGGACTGCTGCTTCATTCAGGTTGTTTATGTTATTGTGTTTTTGTCCCTATCAAATAAAGCTAATGAATAAAATCAAAAATAAAAGAAGGATCCTCCATGAGCAGATTATCTTCACATAGCGCGTTGAGAAGGGAAGGACCTGGAGTGGGGTGGGGGGTATTTCCTGGAAGAACTCAGCTCTGTGATTGGTGGGCTGCCGGATCATCTGACTCCTCTCAGTCTGTGCCCTAATTCAAACACATTGACCACCCTCCTGGGTTGAGTGGCAGGGACATGTGAGCCCCTCATTCCGGCTATTCTGGGAAGGCCGGCGAGGCGGCGGGGGGGCGGGGCCGGAGGGGAGCGTTCCTGTTCCCGCATGCGGGCCGCCGGCGGCGAGGAGCAGCTGCTGTGTTACTCTCATGTTGTTTGGCTCTTGGTGAGTGCGGCCGTAGCAGACTTGTGTTTTACTCTCCCTCCAGGCCGGAGAAGATGGGCTGCTGCTTTAGTAAGGAGCTCGGCCCCGAGCCGCAGACTGAGAGGAGTGTTCTGTTATCGGCGCCCCTCCAGGACGGGCTCAGCACGCTGACGGAGCAGGTCAGGAGGCAGGCTGAGGCCGTGGCCCACAGCGCCCGCCTGGAGGACCAGGAGCCGGCCAGGGAACAGGACCGGCCTGGCCCCGACCCGGACCGCACCCAGGTGGCTCTGTCTGGCGGTGAGGCGGAACCGCAGCGGCCCCACAAGAGCCCAGAGGCCGTCATCACCACAAACACACACACAGATACCAGAGCAATGGCTGCTGGGACGCGGGAGGCCAGCCCCGGCCGCGGGACGCCTCCCTACATGGAGGTGTCCACCCAGAGTCCGTTCGGCCCGGAAATGCTGGAGATCGCCGTGCACTGGGCCGCGGGGTACAGTGGGGCGCCGGAGCACGGCGAGCAGGGAGGGCCGGAGCCGGGTCCCCTATCAGGCCCCCAGGACGCAGCAGAACTCCCGCTCAACGCCGTAGCAACGCACCGCAGCTTCTACAGCATCTGTCCCATCGGAGCCGAGGAGCTGGAGCCCAGCTGGACCCAGACGGCTCTGCCCTGCACACCCTCCAGCCAATCAGAGGCTAGCCTGTTCAGGGACCATGCCAACACAGGTACCACCTGGTCACATGACCAGGAAGTGGTCTCTGCTGACAAACTGGATCCTGGCTCAGTTCTGGAGAAGGACGGAGTGTTAAACCAACAGGGTGAGGCCGCCGTGAGCGGTGAGGACCCTCAGGCATCCACAGTGGACAGCTATCAGCCGAAGGACTCCGGTGCCGCCACAGAAGGAGAAAACATTTGCTTAAGGAAGAAAGAAGCAGAGCTGAGCAGTGATGGGTCTGGGTTCAGAGCGGAGCAGGAAGTCCAGAACCGTCCAGGTCCGAAGACCGTCGAGGTCCGAATGCTGCTCCAGGAGGAAGACGAAGATGACCTTCCTCTACTGGAGGGGCCGACGCTCCGACTGTGCCACACAGAGATCATCTGCAGGATCAGCAATGCTACAGCGACCCCGACCCGACGTGGTCAGAACCCCACTCTACTGGCTCCCGGGTCAGACTCCTTACATCAGGAACCCAAAGAGCCCACAGGAAGCACTGAGCAGGGGTCAGAGGTCATCATTCAGAGAAGCCCTGCAGAGGCCGGGGATGCTGCCTCCGGTGTACAGGAACCAGAACCAGAGGGCTGGGACCGGATTGGACGTCAGAACCATGAAGGTATAAGCCACCATCCGCCCAGCCGCTCAGAGCGCTCTGGGCCGCCACCTTCCTCTCCCGTTTCCTCCTCTTCCTCACACGAAGAGACGCCGTCTGACGGGTTTACTCCCACGGGTCAGAGACGCCCCCCCAGCCCGGATCGGACCTCTGACTCTTCCTCAGACAGAAACAACATGGAGGAGATGAAGAGTTTACTCCCCGTTGCTCCTGGTTACTCAGACTGGATGGTTACTGATGCCAGCCGCCAGGAGAGTTCTGGCTCAGTGCCGGTGGACCCGGATCAGATCGATGTCTACGCCTCCACTCCTTCTTACGAGATTCACTTCCTGAACCAGGAAGTCCCAGCCGCTGAGGAAGAGGAGGAGGAGGAAGAGGTGGAGAAGGAGGGCGGGATCAGGAACATGGTGTCGGAGCTGCTGGGAGAGCTGGCCGAGGCGTCCGTCTGCCGCCTGTACCCCCAGCCCTGGATCCGGTTGAGCCCGGACCAGAACCCTGACGCTCTGGCCCAGGGCACGTTGGAGGCGGACGGGACGAAGGGCGAGGATGAGGAGCAGATCCCAGCCCTGGTGTCAGAGCTGCAGCCCTCCATGGCCCTGCTGGGGGCCTTCCCCTACAGCACGGCGACGCCCCAGGGGCCCTGCGTCTGGGACTGGCACACCAGCAGCTCCCAGGCTGTAAGTCTGGCTCCAGCTCTGCTGCTCCATGTCTCTCTCACACACACACACACACACACACACACTGGAAGGAAAACATCTGGAATATTCTAGGTTTAACAAAACACATGGGTTATTATTCACATTCACAGTTTGAAGAGATTATGTTTTATTGATAATCCAGGCTGGAGTTAACTTGGAGTCATGGTTTTTGTTACATTCAGATGTTTGTGCTGACCTTTGACCCCAACAGCACTGTTTTCTACATGATGAACCTGAACTGTTCACTGAGAAGGATCAGTGAACAGTCGTGCTGTGTTTCATGTGTGTATCAGGGGTGTCCAAATTATGATTTAGCAACTTTTCAATCTGAGGCGTTTTAGTGAAAAACGGATTTATAATTCTGGAGCAGAAAAGATTCATAGCAAAATATTCATTGGTAAGAAAAAAATGATTGAATCATGAGAGTCAGGAAGGTCTGAGGAGAAAACCAGACCAGGTTCATGTCTCTGTTGCATCGTTATGGAGAAGATATGAGGTTATGAAAACATACAGCTGCACTTTGTGTCTCCTGTAATGGAGTTTCTTATTCCTGATGAGTTGATGCTTCACTTTGGGACGATTTGCCAGAAAACTGCAAGTCCCACATCAATGAGGGTTACATTTTCTGAATTCAGACAAAATTCTTACATTTGGTGTAAAGTACATGTAGAAAAAGTGAAAATTAAGTGAGTTAACAGAATTTGTTCAGAAACCATCATATTTTTGCTCTAGCAGCTGAAGAACTCTGTTATTGGATTCCATTAAAAAGATGACATCTGACAATAATGTGACCACAAAATAGATTTTATGAAAATGGTAAAAAAAATAAATATGAAAAAAACTGGAACATACAGAAGTAGCCAAAAGGCATTACGATAATTCAAAGTTTGAATGACATTTTTAAGCGAAAGTATGTGGAAAACAGGCAAGTGTTAGCAGATTGTTAGGGGTTTCCATTTATTTCATTCTACAAAGTGAAACATTATTTGGGCAAATTTCAGTTTTAGTTAGAATTTGGCTAAATTATAATAAAGTTTATATGAGATGATCAGTCAGTGTTTGTTTATCCATCATCACATTTAAAAGCAAATTTCTCTTGATCAAAGTTTTCTACAGACAATAAAGAACTTTTCTTATATAATCATGTAGAAACAATAAAGTATAATATGATAACTAAAATCACACAAGATAAAACCATTAAACCACAGAGTTAAAATCAACAGACTGGTTTCCAGTCTGGAACTGGGAATCTTTAACAGTTTCTGATTTGTGATGCTGTCAAAGTTCTGACTACTAAGGTTGTTCCAAACCACTTAAACTGGTAAAAACAAGAAATAAAGCTGTGACTCATTTACCTGGTGAACTCTGAACATGAACAGATTCAGTTAACCTGAGTGAACTGAGAACTAGTTAAGGGTTTGTTGCACTAGTTAAGCTGCTGTTAACCCAAGAAGTGGCTCAACATGCTGAACCAGATGTGGATGTTTCCTGTCTGCTCACACCACCAGGAAGTCTAAACG